ATTCTGAATCCTCTGTTCTCAGGAGCAAATTCAATATTTTGTTAATTTCTTGGATTTTTATATGTTTACCAAAAGCATCCCTTAACTTCCTTTCCCTGTTCTTTCTTCATATAAAAAATCCACCAATAACTGTTAGGCATTTTCCTGAGCATGCTCAGTTTTCCAAACAATTATCATTTCCTTTTGTTAATTCACTTCTTTTTTTTTTTTTTTTTTCCCAGAGTGGAAAAAGCACTACCAAAATGCATCAAATATTACTAAGTGGTAAGAGAGAGAAATCTTTAAAAGTGAAGCAGGACGTGTATCCGTGACTGGTTCTGAGTTTTACCATCTTGGTAAGATACACATTTTGGGGTAAGATGAGGCTTAGAACAGTTAAGAGATTTGCTCTTAGGGGCGCCTGGGTGGCTCAGTGGGTTAAAGCCTCTGCCTTCAGCTCAGGTCATGTTTCCAGGTTCTTGGGATCGAGCCCTGCATCGGGCTCTCTGCTCAGCCGGGAGCCTGCTTCCCCTCTCTGCCTGCCTCTCTGCCTACTTGTGATCTCTGTCAAATAAATAAATAAAATCTTAAAAAAAAAAAAAAAGAGATTTGCTCTTAAAAAAATCACAAAAAATGATCTGTGGCAAAGCCCAGATCACTGGAATAGACACCCAGTAGTCTTTGTGCCAAAAGATCTTGTCTTATCTTCCTAATCATCTTGCCTTTCTAGATTTTTTTGCTGCTATTTCTCAGTTTAGAAATGTACGCTTTGTCCACAGCCACGTTAGAAGTTGCTGCAACAGAACTGTGGCCAGAACTGCATCTGTCCCACTAGGCTTATTTTTCTAAGGTGAGATATTTATCCCACCTAAAGAAATTCTGTCCCCACAGACCCTGACCAGGAGAAATGCCTGTCTCAGGTAGCCCAGAAACATCCAGAGTTCAACTGCCAAGTTTCTACATACCAGGAAGCTTACAGTTTGGAGGAGACTATGAAAAGATGGAGTTTTCCTGGTATTTCCTGGCATTTCTTGGATGGATAACTGAATCAGGTGGGACAGGGAACTGAAGCCTTCTTACCTTCGCAGTTGCGAGGCAGGAATAACCTGGCCATTTGTCTCTGGAAATCTGCTTCCAAAGAGGAAAGCAAGTGATTAAAAACATACAAACACAAGAAGAAACTAGAGGCAGCGTGGCATTTGCTTCTCCCCTTCCCCCCAAGCAGGTCAATACCCCGACTTCACTCCTCCATTTCTATCCAGATTCGGGGGCTATTAGCATGGGTATGCGTGTTTAAGTATTTCCAGGCTTGCTAATCAGAATATGTGACCCCCCCCAACCCTTTGTTCACACATGCCCTAATGAAAGATGTGAGAAGCACCCTGCTACCTTCTCAAAAGGAAACAGACACGAAGACCATTCCTCTATATGAGAATAAGCTTTACTGATGGAGTCCTATCAGTTTTTCTGCCACTGTAATTAAGAGTTGTAATTTCTGGAAAAGCAGCACAGCCACAGACCTGCCTGCATGACTGACAGGTTATTTATATCGAGTGTTTCTTCAGACACGGCACAGGCAGGACAAATCAAAGTGTTTAAAGGAAACAGATCCATAGGGAAAATAAGTTACTCGCATTTGCTTTTCTGCAGTTTTGGGCTAATTGTGAAAATGCAAAGGTAAAGGCTTGGCACTTGGCTGCCTCTCTTTGAGCCTGGGAAGATGTTCCCCTGCTGGTCTTTCAAGAAATCCCTGCGACTTCAGCACCGCGGACTCTGCGTTGCCCCAAGCTCTTCTGTAACTGGCTTTTACTGCTTTAATTAACCAAGGTTAGGTGGGACAGATTTATTCCACCTCTGTAATGTCATTGTTTTCTGTTAGTGGCTAATAGCAGCTCTTTACCTCTCATCCTTGATGCCTGGCCTGCACAATTAGCACCTTATTACAGGTCGGCCTCACGTCTAATTACCACACTGGCTCAATTGGGCACTTTATTTCACTGTCTTGTTTATGTGCTAGTTTGAGTGCCTGGGCTCTCCAGCTATAGCAAATCCTTAACTCCTTTTAGGCAGGTGTGCTTTCAGCTTCCCATCTCTCTGAGTCCACAAGAACACTAGACACTCACAGGCATGCAAACAAATACTTCCTGTCTGAAGAGCTTCTAGATGTCTATTCTGGGAGTAAGGCACATGGTTGGCATCAGGGTCTCCATGCCTCGCTCCATCATCCGTCCCAGATCCAACAGCCTTCTCTGTTGTTGAGGGCTCTTCTCAGCTACTCTGAGTTAAGCTCCACTTGGCTTGTATGTAACCTTTTCCCTTATCCGAAAGGGGAGGCTGAAACACACATAGCGAGCGTCCCCTCCGCACCATGTTTGACATTCCTTTAGAAGAAGGAGTCAAGGGATGTGAATTTATGGTTGAACAGACTCCCTGCTTTTGGAATAAAAACTAACTACAGCCTACAGAGCAGTTAACAATTCCATAACTAAACAGGCCTCCTTCACCGAATACTCGGGCAAATCAAGTATAGTCTGGTGAGGAGACCGCATAAGGGGATGGTTAGAAGTGCAGGTATGGGAGTTATTGCCTGGTCTCAAACCCCAGCTCGGGCACTTTTTAGTCATGTGACCTGTGAACTTGATCAAGACAATCAACCTCTCTGCACCTCAGCTTCCCAATCTGTAAAATAGGGATAATGGTACTTGCCTCATAGGGCTCTCGTGAGGACTGAATCAGTTAATCATTGTAAAGTGTTTTAGAACAGTGCTTGGCACCTAATAAGCACTACGTAAGTTAATGTTAAATAAAATTTACATAGTAAGAGGTTCAGAATGGACAGACTTACGAAACATAGCCCCCCCCACCCTTGCCCCCAAGAATCTGACGATAGAAAAATATGTTGGTTTTATAGACTAAGGTGTTATTCTTGGCTTCTTGATTTTCTGGCTAACATGCCTTCTTTGACTTGCTTCAATAAACCAAAAAAGAACTCTGAATTTATGAGTTTTAAAAATGTGTAATGCATTATCACAACAAACATGATAAAAAATGTTCTGCCAGCATTGATACGTAACGGTTACTGAACATGTCATTGTTTTAGTAGAGAACTGAAAATAAACATTCCGCTGTTTACACCTCTCAGACCTACTTAGCCTAACATGTCAGACATCATTCATAAAATTATTTAGCAAATACTGCCAACTCTTCTCCAGCAAGGAACCTTTAGTCAGTTGTCAGGGGAATGGTTCAAGTTTGCGTTCTATATTTTCAAAGACATATTGAAAGATCTTTATATAAAGATGATTCCATGATATCCAACTCAGACTCTTTCTGTCTTTTCTGATCTGTCCATTTGCTGCCACTTTTAAAATCTACAATTCTTTTAGTTATCTAGCTACTAAAACTCCATGTTCAGAGTCTTTACTTTCTGAGCAATCTCTAGAACAGAATATCATTTCTAACATCAGCAGCGCCTTATTATCTCATCACAAACAAAGCTCCTCACATAGAAACCAGGTGTCCAACCACACAAAGATTCCTATGTGCCCCAACAGGTGGGGCACCTGTGCTTTCATTTGGAAGAAAAGCCTTCCGGCTTCACCTCTCCCAGTCTCCCTGGAGGGCCAAGTCCAACCCTGCAGGATGTCTTCCCTATAGGTATACTTATAAGAGAACAATGAAGACATAAGAAGCAACTCATGTCCAGTCTACTAAGTGATTATTTATTTTGGAACCCAGGAGTTTACAGCTTAAGAATATGGGCAGGTACTTCTTCCCTGTACCCTCCTCTGACCCACCTCCCTAATCCCACTGTATTCATGGGTGCCACCACTATAGTTCTTAACCATGTTCTGTGGTTATGTTGACCCTAGAGCCTTTCCCTCTGCCTGGGGAGCTACTCTGGGCAGAAATCGTGTTTTATTTGTCTTAGTGTTCCAAAGTTGGCCCAAAGCCCATCCCTAGTAAGCTCTCAATAGTCACCTATGAGACAGTATCGAAGCTACTAGCAAAGAAATACATTCTTCAGATGATCAAGCTGTCAAGGGTTACTGTATTTTCACTTTTCAGAACAGGGAGTCTCCTTAAAAGAGGGACATTTGGAAAAGTGATCAGACACCCTTGCTTCAGTCACTCTGTGTTAACTTTCCCCCATTTATCCACATGACCTCTTTAAAATCTGTACCATACCTTATCTTGCCTTGCCTTATTGGGTTCCTGCAGTGACCCTATATTCACCTTGTGGGTATCCCTTCTGGATATCCAAGGCGCATACTCCAACTTGGCCACGGCCAGGGCTGGGATTCCCGCCCCCCGCCCCCACGCAGCTGTCTACAGCTCCCAGCGACCACACCATCAAGCCGAGGCTTCCAGCCATCACTGGGAAGCACTGGGGACGCCTGGACACTGTGCCCCTGGCCAGCACCAGCTACCAAGACTCTGCCCCTTCCTCTCTTTGGGATAATGCTCCAGCGACCACCTGGGGCAAGGGGAAATCCTGCAACGTTCAGGGTCACGTCTGGTCAGCCCGAGAGAGTGGGCAGGGGTGGAATCCTTGGGGTGGAGTGAGGACGCCCTGGGACTACTGGGCACTCACTCCGGGCCCGGACCCTCCCCACCCAGAACGAAGTAAAGAGGGCTTCACCGCCTCTTCTTTTCACACATCCTAGGGACTAGGGAAATGCGGGACGGAGGGATGGGGGTGGGGGAAGAGGGGAGGAAAGCAAGGAGACAGCCCCTCAGGCCAATCATGACATCCGCCTCCCCTCGCTCAGGGTCGGTCGGTTTCCCTTTCAGGACCTTTCTCTTTCTCTCAGGTCTCTCCTCTCCTCTCTCTCTCTCTCTCTCTCTCTCTCACACACACACACACACACACACACACTCGCTCTGCTACTTCAACTCTGGCTTTGAGCAAACTGCGACGCGCGCCTCTCCCACTACAAGTCCTAAGCTCCGGCCCCGGCCCGCGCCTCTGGCCTCATCCCAGCCTTTTCACTCAACCCCAGTTCCCCCTCCCAACTGACCGTGAAGCCGGAGGCAGTTCCCCAGTCCCAGGCCCCCGGTGGGGCTCTCGCCGCCGCCGCCGTCGCCTCCCCTTGCAGCCCCCGACCCGGAACCCGGCTTCGGGCTGCAGCGATGGCTCCCCGGCACGAGGCGCCGCGGCTTCCTGGACTCGTCCAGACACCGGGCGGCGCGCAGGAGAAGCCCATCGAGCTGCCGGCGGTGGCGGCAGCGGCGGTGGCTGCAGGAGCGGCCGCCGCGCAGGTTGATGACGCAGGGCGCGTGGGGGGGGGGAGCTGTCCGCGCCGGGGCGACGCGAGCAGATGACGTGCGACGAGCGGAGCGGCTCGGCAGCATGGCGTCGGTGGCGCTGAGCGAGGCTGAGAAGGTGTATATCGTGCACGGCGTTCAGGTAGCTGAGCCGCGGCGTCAGCCATCGGGTTCCCCTGGCATTGCGGGTGGCGGCGCGCCCTCGGTTCCCTCGGGAGGAGGCTGCCAGGCGGCGTTCTGGGTTTACCTGGTCATTAGACAGCTCTGCGGCCGGCGTTTGCAGCCCGAAGCCTGCAACGGGAGTCTCTTTAGGATCCCACCGCGAGGGTGCACTTAGGGCTGTGTGCGTACTTGAAACCTGCCGCGTCTACAAGGTTCCCAACCTGGGTGGGAAGGCGGTCCCTGAGGCCTTTTCTTAGCGAGGGAGCACCGCCCCCAGGGCCGTCTTTTCAGCTTTAGGGAGTCGCATCCCTGGGCCGAGCCTCACTTTTCTCTGCTAGGAAACGGGGGTTGGCGGGAGGCTTCTGGCCCGCTGTTCCTTACCTCGTGGTTGGGAAGCACAGGGAGAGAAGGCAATGAGGGGAAAGCGCTTTGGAAATATAAATAAATATATTACATATATTCCCCCTTACAAATAAAGGGGGAAGAATGTTTAAAAAGCAGCTCTACAGCCAGTGGCACTTAGTTTTGCAGTGGATTATTAAGATCCTTAGAGGCAGCTGTAACTATATTCAGATCTTCTGTGGTCAGTTTTCTGCCCTTGAAGCCAAGACCACTCCTGAGTGAGATTGGAGAATGTTGGGTGTAATGAGCTACCAAGGAAAGCCAAGTGTGTCCTTCTTGTTTGTAACCTACCCAGGTTAGAGACATCCCCAGACGTCTTGGTGAAACCTGACCAGAATCCTGTTCTTGCCTCTAGAGGCCTAATCATTTTGTGTTTTACTTTTCACATACAGTGGAGTATGGTCAAATTCAGCTTCTGGCATCCCCTTTCCCTCAGCCATTGATTTCCTTATTATTTCAAAGATGAATAAAGTAAAGGCAATGGAATGTAACATATATGCTAAGGGAGTGGTATAGTTAGTGGAGGTCAAAGGAGCTATACAATATTGGGGACTGTGATGCTCTGAAGTCTTCCCTAAGGAGGTGGAATTGCTCCCTTAAATCCATGTCAAGTGTCCCTCTTTTGTGTTTTCAGGACTCCGTATTCGTTCATTTGACCTAGAACTAAGCTAGACTCAAGGGATGAGAAGGATCCTGCCCTTATATAGTTCCCATGCTAGAAGGAGGAGACAAATTGTAGATCTATTTGTGTGCTTGTATGTAAAATTGTACTGATGGCTGTGAACGAAGAAGAAGTCAGGGACCTGATCTAGTCCAGGAAGTCAGGGGAAGCGTCCCTAAGGAAATAACATTTGAAATGAGCTCTCAGCATGCTTAAGCATTAAATAGGCTTGAGCCTTTCTGGAGGAAGAGTTTCTGAATCTGCAGGCTCTCAGGTGGAGGAGGTGTGAAGCCACAGGGGTGGGCTGGGGGTGGTGGTGGTAGATCAGGTTGTTGAGGTGGCTAGATGCCTGATCCTAGAGGGTTTGGAGGTTTGGAGGCTCAGTCACTCCTTTCTCATGGATCTTCGAGGTAGTGATCTGTCATTTGGTCCTTTTAAAACCTAGTTATTGTCCAGCGATTAGTGGGTACTCTGTGAGATTGTTTGAGTAAGGCAGGTCTTAAAAGGGAGGTCAGTTGGGCACTCTTTTTATTTTTATTTATTTTATTTTTTTAAAGATTTTATTTATTTATTTGACAGACAGAGATCACAAGTAGGCAGAGAGGCAGGCAGAGAGAGAGGAGGAAGCAGGCGCCCTGCAGAGCAGAGAGTCGGATGCGGGGCTCGATCCCAGGACCCCGAGATCACGACCCGAGCCGAAGGCAGAGGCTGTAACCCACTGAGCTACCCAGGCACCCCTCTTTTTATTTTTAAAGTTAAATCTCTATCTAATCCGTACCACGAACCTAATATTAGGGCCACAGTTGTTGGTAAATGCTCTGCTCTGTGTATCATGGAGCCATGCAGAGTACCTGACTTTTTTTTTTTTTTTAAGATTTTATTTATTTATCTGACAGAGAAAGAGAGAGAGCACAAGCATAGGAGCAGCAGGCAGAGAGAGGAGAAGCAGGCTTCCCACCGAGCAGGGAGCCTGATGCGGGACTCTTTCCCAGGACCCTGGGATCATGGCATGAGCCCAAGGCAGACACTTAACCAACTGAGCTACCCAGGAAACCCCAGAGTAACTGACTTTAAAGAAATCTCTTTGTAAGGACTATTAGTGTTGGCTACAAATTTGCTATATTTATGGAGAAGGGAAATAGCATTGACACCATCTGAATAAAGGTCAGAAGGCAGGTGATTAAGCTTCCTATGGGGTTTCCACTGACTCAGTTCTAAAATCACCTCAACTTTTGTTTTGTTGGTCTTTGAGTGCTGGCAGTGCACCTTATACGGTACCTCCCTGGAATTCTGTTCTTTCTTGTGTCTGTAGACCTACTTGTGTTTTTGCTTGTTTGTTTTACTTTTCACCTTTGTGCAGTATGGTCAGTTTTAGCATCTGTCATCCCTTTCCTTTCAGCCTTTGGTTCCTTTACTATTTCAGGGATATTTCGTCTTGGTTTGGTGGTCATTAGAAGCAGTTGAAATTATTATTATTTTTTAAAGATTTTATTTATTTGCCAGGGAGAGAGCAAGAGAGAGAGTGTGCGTGCACAAGCAGGGGGAGTGGCAGGCAGAAGGAGAAGCAGGCTCTCTGCTGAGCACGGAGCCTGATGTGGGACTTGTAAGGCAGGTCTTAAAAGGGATCATGACCTGAGCCAAAGGCAGACGCTTAACCAATTGAACCACAGAGGTGACCCGGAAGCAGTTGAAATTAACCTCACAATGTATGTTGAGGAGTCAGTTGCCAGTAATGGTAACCAACAAACTCACTCAAGCACAAAAAATATGCTTTAGAAGGTTGTGAGTGTTATTCTAGGGATTCGGGGTCATCTTCAGGCTCTCCCTTGCTTATCTCTGCTGCTTTTTACGCCTCTGCTTTTTCTTACCTCTCTTCAGACTGGCCTGTGGTTTCTCAGGCCACATGGTAGGAGGAGTGTGGTTACCTCTCAGCTCCTGGGATTATGGTTCCTCTGTATATAAGAAGCCATCCCTTCTAGTTCAGTTCCAACATCATCAGGAGAAAAATGTCCTTGCTTCAGCTTGGGTCAGATGAAAGGACGGACAGAATCATTAGGCTCAAAAATGGCCACTGGGAGCATGGGGCACACTTGAGAGAAAGCATTTTGTCCGCAAGGAGGATGAATCATATTAGGTTCTGGCAGAATATGGAATCCCATTCAGATAATTCAGGAGACTTGTATGATGCCACTATTTATAGTGGTGTGGGTGGGTTTCAGGTAATTGACAAGAGATACTGAGGAGCCCAGAGATGAGCAATGGCTCATCTCAACAGGGAGGAGCTGTTACCCCTAGGCTGAAGGGTCGAGGGAGGCAGTTGTGTTACTAGATGCCAGTGATAGCTACAACTGTGGAGGAAGAGCTGCTCAACAGACACCGTAGGCTTGGCCAGATGAAAGCGCTGTCAGAAATGTGGCCCCGGTTTGGGGTGTTAGGGAGGGGGGACGGGAAGCATTGTCTCATCTCCTTTTGGACCTTTCATTGGCTAGACCCAACCACAAGACAGTGAAGGGAGTACAGGTGATGTAGTTGAGAAGGAGATAACCTGGTGCACAGATGAGGCCAGAGAAGGATGGAGAATGGATCCAAGGGAGCGGATCAAAGGGATCCGTGGACAGGATCAATGGAAAGGTTGATCCATCAGTATTCTTAGTATATGATTGGATTGGTTTCTGTTAGGTTCCCTGTCACCCTTTGAAGGCTGAGGTGTCCCACCCTGGTTAGGCACATACTATAATTTTTATGTCATCGAATCTTTGAAACTGGCTTGAAGGTGAGTATTATTATCTCTATATTACAGATGAAGAACTGAGCTCCGACAGGGTCCATGGTCACACAGAGAGTACGTGGTGGAGCGGGGACAGAAATCCAGATCTGTGTGATCACAAGAGCCCGTACCTGACTTTCATGGTGCTTTCCTACTGCAGTGAAAGCCTTGGTCGTCTGGTCCTTAAATAGGGTTCCCAAAGCAAGGGCCAGAGAGAATCCCTATTTCTACTTCTCTTTCTTTCTTTTTCCATCTGGAAGCATGTGAGCAACAAGAAGGAAGAGGGGACGTTCTGGACACTGCCCCCTCCCACACTCCATTTTTCTAGACTTTAAATAGTTCATGGTATATACTGTATTGTTATCTTTCCAAGTAGTATCTTTCCTGCTTTTTTTTTTTTTTTTTAAGATTCTATTTATTTATTTGACATACAGAGATCACAAGTAGACAGAGAGGCAGGCAGAGAGAGAGAGAGAGGAGGAAGCAGGCTCCTTGCCGAGCAGAGAGCCTGATGCGGGACTCGATCCCAGGACCCTGAGATCATGACCTGAGCCGAAGGCAGAGGCTTTAACCCCTGAGCCACCCAGACGCCCCATATCGTTCCCACTTTCGTTAATTCCTTTAGAACTGTATTTGCCTTTCTTTGTACAGCTTTTGTTTTACCGACTCGTATCTCAAACTGTTTTTTTCTCTATTTACAATACTCAGTGATTGTGGGGGGCAGATTTTAGAATTTGCAGAATCTAGGGTTTACCCTCTTTTGGGTTTGAGCAACTGGCTAGGTGTGCGTTTTCTTCTTGAGGAGACACAGCTGACCTCCATCTCAGCCTGGTGATTCTGAAGTCTTGAAGTACCTTTCATTCACCTGCAAAATGCAGATTCCCAGGCTTTGCCCAGACCTTCTGAATCTCTACCTTTGGTGTTGGAGCCTGGGAATGGACGTGTTCACAAAGTGTCAGG